AAATTTAGTTTAATTTTTTTTTTCAATGTTTTGTAGTGAGAACAACATAATTTTTGATTAGGTAGGATACTCGTTTTCACAATTAAAATGAATCTGCATGAACATTGTTATTAAAACCAGGGCTTGCAAACGTTATGATTATAACTTTATACTTAACAAAAAACGATTGAAATTTGTAAACGTGATTATAACAGAAAACGATTAACATAAAACAAAACATCACGTAAAACGTTATACATATATATAGTATATAATTAAACGAAATAATTAATTTTCAATTATTTAATAGTTATAAATTATTAAATACACTAAAAATTTTAATTTTGAATAACGATAAACGTAAAAGTTGAATAATGTTTTTTTTTTTCAAATACAAGCCCTGATTAGAACTCAATAACAAGTTTAAAGTTATTATCATATTATATATTGTGTATGAATAAGCAGCCAGTTTATGCACGAGATGGTCGGACGACAAAAATATTATAATTGACTATCTCTGTGTTTTCGCTTGTCATTCTTTCTGACCACGCATGATTGACAGTCGTCCTTGCAGCCGGCAAAGACCGCGATATTCTCCAGATGCGAGTTTCATAATATTCTTTACGTAGGTACCAACAACATCAAATGGACTATTACGAGCGCACGCTCAAGTGACCTTTGACGTCCGTCTCAGTGGTAATTAACTCAAGTGGACTGCATTCAAAAGAAAAGTAATAGAAACAAATAATTGATTGAAAACATCCGGTTTCCATGATTGCTACGAACAATATTGTCCTAGTATTCGTAAATATAAAGAAACCGTCAACATGCACAACATATTATTATTACATACACCACAAGTCTAGCTATTACGTTTTCTGCATTTCTGATAACAGTTTTATTTTGGAAAAATTTTAATCCCATATTATAAATTTGAAATTTCTCAAGACATTATAAATACACACGAAGAGTGACTTTAAACGGCTCAGTTTTTCCATATCATGGCGAAGGAATTGCCACGACTTGGCGATTTAAATTATACTATGTAGGAATATCATTAGCCTTATATTGCATAACAAGAGCAACAGATACATGATGTACATTATACCATAGGTACCATAAAATATATTATCATACGTTTACATCGTAGGTAGGTAGTAGGTACCTACTACTACTACTATTACTATTATTATTATGATTATTTTTATTATTATATAGTATATTATGCAATTTAACAGCTGCAACTATAATAACAATGATAATGCCACAATTCTTATTAATAATACATATTCGTCAAAAAATCTATACTATATATTTTGTGTCTGTACTTAATAGCTAATACTATTAGTATAAGACAAATATGGTCGATCATCTAATGTAAAATTTACAAGGGTGTAGGTACACTATATACCAACCTACATACACTTAACAATATATTTATTACACTTTTACACACACATATTTTAGCATATATATATATATATATATATATATTATATAACACTGCTGTTAATTACACATATATTTATAAATATTCAACTCGACAGTTGATGTTGTATTGAATTCTATTCATGAACTGTTTTTAAGTGGACAAATTTGTTAAAAACATTGTGGTTAAATATTAATTAAGAAATTGTAATCATAATTGTGTTCAAGATAGTTAAATAATACTTATTCGTTGTTGAGTACATTGATGAGTAATAAAATATCATAACACCAATATTGTTATCCTGGTCTAAATTTTGAATATTTTTATTATAACTCATAAGCTTCAATGATTCCCTATAAGTTTATGTAATAAAGTGTAGATACTATATAAAATGTCTCTAATTATAACACTTAAGTTGAGCAATAAAAAATGATACCAATCTAATCGTCTGTATACCTTTTTCTTTATTTTAAATAATAGTTTTGAAATTTTGAGAGAGTTAGATTTGTGAAACTATAAAATATAATACAGGTGTTTATTATTTTTGGTTTTTACTCTTAGCAAAGTAAAAGAATTTAATGAAGTGGATTTTTCATTGTTTCTGAATTCTTGAGCAGAATATTAAGATTGGATTAGCAGTAAAATAATCCTCCTACCACTCGTACATTATTAAACAGAAGCTCGTATAGTTCCGCATCATATAATTGAATTCGTATTCCTGATGGTCAATTTAAATGTATATATAATGCTAACGAGTAACGACGCACATTTATTACGATTTGTTAAGTGGTAATACATTCTGATCACTTGTGTCACATTCGTTTCATTTATATATATATATATATATGCAACGCGATGTCATATTAATCATATAATTTAACTTGCAACTTCTTAACTCTCTCTATCTCCGAATCATAAATTATACAGAGAATTTGAACTAAGCTAAATAAGAACATCACAAAGTTACTATTGCAATCATATTCATTATCTCAAGTAGACTATTTGTTTAATAATAGGTGTCGATCATAGTATATTGTACATTTGTACAGGTTTCGACCTTTTATCTCTTTTAATCTAAAAATTCTCATTAAATCAATTAATATAACATAGCTATGTTTAAAATTAAAACAATTTTAAGAAGACAGTTATTTTCCGTATATATTATTCACAATAATACAAATGGGTGTTGCACATCATTTATTTTTGAATAATGTTAACCCAGTGTTAACATGTCTAACTAAATGTAACATTTAATTGCATTATCTTAACTAAAACGTTAGAAGAATTAAATTAAAGTTTACTATTGTTATCTGTTTTCTGCTCTCGATTATACTCATATAAATTGACTTTATTCAATACTATTACAAGTATAAAAATAAACACTGTTATATTCTGAAAATATGATTTTAAATAGGTATACAAATGTTGTCAACGCAAGAAATAAATAAAACATTGTAATTAATATTATAAAAATCGTCATGTTTAAAAACATAATACGCTCATGTCTTAAATAAATATAATAATACACAGATATACGTGAGAATGTGAAATAAAATGTAGTGATCAGAAATTAGCATAAATACCTATACATTTTAATTTAAACATCCAAAGAAACGTGTCAAAAACATCAAAGAGAAAACTTCACGGTGAAATGAATAGTTATTGTTAATAGTAATAAAATAAATAAGACTTCTAGGAATCTATGAAATTTCCTACGTACAGATAAAATAAATTGATATGCAGTGTATAGTTACAAGGAGAATAAAAGAAGAAGGGTTTAAAAAAAAATTAAATTATGAATACGAATAATCAATTTGTATAATATAAGTATACCTACAACATATTTATGTGTATTTATTATGTTTTAGAGAAATTAGCACGGATGTGGTCATCTGTTGTTACGATCTGTTAAATGATCCATTGTAATACCTTTCTCGTAACTACAAACATATAAATCTAAAAATATGTGACTGCACGCATCGTCGTAGTACTCGAGTAGGTACCTATACATAATATAATGCCTGGGTACGCGTGAATATATTAGAATTTCCCAATTAAACGCTTTCGAACACAGTAATAGACATATAATACTGATGAAAATTAAATAATCCATTGATTAACATAATGTTTAGTGACAGTTATTATTACTATTACACTTTTCCCTTATGTTTGATGAGTGTACCTACTACCTACTGTTGTAGTACCATGTACCATACATATATATATATAAATGTATAGATACCTACATGCATATTATAATAGCCAATAGTCAATACGCTTTCTTTTATCATATTTCATCGCTGTCAGCCAGTCGCGAGCAATGGACATAAAAAAATCATACATTCGATGTACCGCGTATTTCAAGTACCTACTTAATAAAATGTATTGTTAAATAAAATTGTGAATTTCAATGTATGCTGCAGCCAGCATTCAGCAAGTAATAATACGATCAACTAACTAACGCACGCAAACAGTCCATTGATACATGATAAAATTTGACGACAATGATACACTATATTAATAATACATATATATATATATATATTATATAATCCTACAATAATTTTAACGACGATAAGCGAAAATGTAAATAACTTTAATAATTTATTTGCGATATACACATATTATCGTGAAAATGATTAATAACATTGAAGGGAACATAAAAAATTAATTTTTTGTGAATAATCGACAAATCATTTAAATTACAATATAATATTATTCGTACACTTTATACATATAAAGCTATAACAAGAGCTTAATAATAATGATACATATATATTATTATGTAATACCTAATAAGCTTAATAAGTGTGGTAAATCTATCGATGTAACGTAAAAGGACAAAATACGCAGGTCAGAACATAACACATACAGCTTTTTAATTAACTTTATTATTTAAAAAAAAATTATTAAACGGAAAGCATTCCGGGAACAGCATGTGATTAGCTACCTATTTAAACAGTTTCCGGTCAAATCGTATGCGTAGTGTATGCAATACATACATATATATATTATATGCATATCCGTTAAAAGCAAGGTCGAGTTTGTATTTGTTTTATTTTTTATGATGATATATTAAGTTTGATATCAAGACTAATTTGTAATTTAAATCTATGATAAATTACAAATTATACAATCAATAATTCTATAAAAGAATTAATAAAGTTTTTCTTTTTATTTTAATATAGCGAAATAGTTTGAGAAACGTTATGAAACACAATAAAAATTTTAAGTTGCATTTAATTTAATATAATGGCAAGAGTTCAAGGGAAACGCGTGATTAATTTTTATGACAACCAAAATATTTAAAACAACGTTGTCTGTTAATAATAACTCATAAATATACTCTACAGAAACACGTGTATATTAATCATACTCTAATTAAGAACAAGACCACTTTTATAATATAATACCATTATAAATATAAATACTACCTTTCTCTCGAACATTAAAATATATAGGTATCTATATTCTATATGAATTTTAAAATGAAGGCAATTTTAAATTTGAATATTTATCAATTTTACTTTTTAGGTAGATAATATACGTGTTAAGTATTTTTAAAATATACATAAATTATGCAAGCACTTACCCGCTTCTCCTCTGCCTTCGCTTCCAGTTTGTCGCATCCATAGAGTAATGTGTTTAGAAACTGCAAACATATAAATTGTAACAAAAATTAATCATGCGTACATAGATGATAATATATTATATACATTTCTCACGTCTAAAATGTATAACATGATCCAGAAGTTGTTACGATAAAAAAAAATATGTGTACAATATATATATTGGAAAGAAGAATGCAGGGAAGCTTGTGTTCTCATGTGTGACCGACTTCCTAATAAAGTGGATAACAGAAAATGAAATCGTGTATAAATGTCCATAACTAGAAATATGGTCTGTTCCCTATATAATCTCCGTTCACCATCAAAGTTATTGCTTCATGTACCTAACTCTGCAACTTGTATTGTTACCCTATTCACGACATAAGAGTGAAAGGATCATCAAACTTTCAAATATTTTCAGTTAGTAAATGTATTATACATATTATATAAAGATTAATTTAAAGCCTAATCAAACCATTTATTTATAAGAGACCAATTATCTAATGTTGTAAATACAGGAAATTGGTTATAAAAATCCGATGTATACAATACTATAATACACTATTACAACTAATTTAAAAATTTATTGATGTTTAACAGATGATATAATAATAAATTTAATTTAAAATACCTACTTGACGATGCAACGCTGTATATCAATAAGATACATAGCGGGAGCAATCAAAACTAAAAACAATTTTATATGTAGGTACATAATATACGAGTATAATATCGTAGTTATCGTACATCACTCAAATAATATAATATAATTTTAGGTAATAATAATAATAATACATTTGAATTTTTTTGAAAACAACGTCGTATATTATACTCAATATAGTTAATAAATAGAAAATCTATAGTTAATATTATTTTAAGCAATTTCATACTATCAGATTTTAATAGATGTTTCATTTTTTATTGGATAGATTTTTACCAAAGAAACCTGCGTGGGTGAATATTAGTGCGTAGGTCCGGTTATAAATTTTCGAACGTCCACTACTATTATACATATATGGCCATAACACATATAATATGATATTCCAGCGGTAAATATTTTAATACACGACATATCATATTGACGTATCTGTGTATATAGATGTTAAACATATATCGTATTTTTTAATTAGTCAATATATTTGTTTACCCATAGCACTCGGTCAAGGACCAAAATGAAAAGAAAAAAACTGTCACGAGATTTAGCAATCTATTTATATACGTATTTAATTGATATCGAGATATTGACAGTCCGATATTGCATTTGTATGGTTTTGGCCGGTTACGCGCAGTCTTAAGATATAGTACTCTACGGCGTCTCTGTGATAATAATTATGCAATATGAATAAAATATATTCTCGAGAATATCTACTTATCCTATGTTCACTTAAACATCATACATCGTGATTTGAACTTAATAAAAAAAAACTACAACGTTAAAGAAATGAAACAACTACAACTTGAAACGTTTTCCATCGATTAATTCCTACACATGTGTATATTTCCGTTGACAACAATCTGGACTCTGGTCTCTGGAATATGTATATATTATACCTACATCGTATCTATAATGCATATGGACGTGTACATAATAAATTTTAAGATCTGTATACTGTATTATATTAGTCATTAGTGTGCACACATAGGTATAATATTGTATAATTTACCTATATATTATATTTTATTAAAATGCATGGCCGCATTAGATCGATCATCGTAAATGATACATTTTTTACATGCCGGAGAAGTGTGATAGCAAGTAGGTACCCATTTATATATAATATTAGAATGCCTGCATGAGATCGGATGAGTCTGCACGATGGGTGATACGACGATCGTCAGTCTCGGAGGTAAAAAAAAAAAATACGATATTTTATATTCAGAGTTATCTTTTAACCATAAACCACTCAATGCGCATAAACCGTCAAATTTCGGAATTTGAAGTAAACAAATTGTTGTTGCCGCCATTGTAATGTAGGTAGGATAAATACTAAAAATCCGAGACAGAAAAAAATTTTAATTACTCGTATTTTCTACAAGGTGTCAAGTACCTGCAACGATCGCCCAGCACGGCATACGTAACATAATATACCACGCGTATTTCGTGTAGCTCTGTACTATATACACTTTATACGCTCATCACTTCGCGTAGTCGCGCGACGTCCACGGCACACCGGAAACGCCCGGAAGCCCGAATAGGTATGCGCGTACGAACATGATAATAATATTATATGTAGTTATTTAGGTATATAATTACAGTAATTTGCTTATTGAAAACAATAAATTGCCGCGGAAAGGTGGGATAGATTTTCTCGTCGGATCTATTAACGGGTATACTATATATTATGTATACATACCGTATAGGTGTATTATAGCCTATATTGCTGACACGAGCGTGTTTTTACGCCTCCCGGACTGTGTTCTGTAAATCTTGTATATAATACTATTACACGCGTGCATGTATGATGTATAGCAACATCGACGGCGGCAAGTCGGTTCCCGTATATAATAATATAATATACACTGCTGTGCAGACGATAAAACCTGATCCGATCGATTACCACCGATAATATACGCCGCCGAGTACCGACACGTATATACATATTTTTTATTTTTTTTTTTTTTTATTATTATTGTTACGAGTTTTGTATTTTAATTACTATTATTTTATTGTCCGACCAGTGGTGACTAAATTTTGTCTACGTTTACTTGTACCCGTAATCGATACAAGTTATACGTTATACGCATCGTATATTATATACATACTATTATTAAATATACATATACATTATACATATATAGTAGTATAGTATTAGGTATATTTTACAGGCACTCCGTGCAATATTATTTAAGACCCGCATGATGTACCTACAACTTCATATTATAAGCGTAGGTAACTCAATATAATAAGTACCTAGTACATACTATATGGTACTAGCTGGATTTTTCGATACATCTGGCTACAACCTAATATACGTTTAACAATGACCCGGTAAGTATAACATATTTTATTTATAATTTTTTTCAGACTTTTTAATATACCCATACATTTCATTTTGAAACATATAAGTGTGTACAGATTTTTGATTTAATTTTTAATATACGATTAAATCATACCGCAAATGAATTGTTGTTTTTTTAAAAATTACAAACACGGAATAGGTAGGTACCTATTATAATAAAACGATAGTTTAAAAATAATGCGTATTCTGTCAAAAGACTATACGAATATCATAAAACTATTGTTATTATTATTATTCATTTTGGAGGAAACTTGCTTATTCTATATTTATAATTTCAATTTTAAAATGTATCCTGACTATAATTAAATATAAATATTATAATTTTTTATAAATGATTTAATAAAATAAAGGACCACGTTAAAAAGTTTTCAATATACATTAATATATCCTTTTATAATATTTTTATTTTTCCATTGCTTATCTGTGTAACATAATAGATAGAACACGAATACCAGATAAAATTGTGGCTAGTACTGTTAATACTCGTAAGTCAACCAATTTTTGGGTAGCTAATATAGGTGCAGTACTGAGCCCTTTGTGAATTTTGGCGTAAGTCATATATTTCGAATTAGATAGGTATAGGTATATTATACGCGGTATATAAGTTATATCAGAAATATATAATATAATAAGGTATAGGTAATTTAGTAATATGTATTGCAAAATTACAATTTGCAATGTGCATATTATATAAATAATACTAATTGTAATTAAAAATAAAAGTGTTAAATAGAACATTTATCTTTTTTTAATAATTTTAATTACATATCTATCATATATTATACTTTAAAAAATTGTAAATAACTTTAACACTATAAATATTACTAAAAACATGTTTAGACATTAGAATAGGTACACTCTGTAGTATAATATTTAATATTATAAACAGTCATATACCTAAAACAATTATTTTTCAGATGATTGTACAAAATGTAAGTTATAAAAAACAATGCCTACACAAAAAATAATCATGTGAGTTGTGAATAGTAAATTAGTTTAGTACAATATTCTTCATTGCTTCCAAAATATTGGATATAATTTTGAAAAGTGTTGGTAGAATTCTTTTATTTTTTTTTATCATTGTATAATTTTAAAATAAATTCGTTGTAATTTATATGTATAGCTACAAAAGCAAAATATTCAAAAGAAAAAAACATGCCAATATAAACGCATAAAATGCAATGTTTTGCTATATGAATACATAATAAGACAGAAACTTATATACAAATACAATAAATAACAGCTATTATTTTTTTCATATATATATAAATTAAAGTAATGTAAGGTTCAAATATTTTATTTATATTATGTGATTTGAATATTTGTAATCAATTTAAATTATTTTATTTGAATGAAACAATTTAAGATATTATCATGTACTTCAATAAATAATATCTAAACTTTAAAACTTCACCAGCTTTAACTTTAGGTACTATAATATTGTACATAAATATTTAATTACTTTAGATATTATTTACACTAAAACTACATTTAAAAAACAGGTATAGTTTAAATGAACGTTTTAAAGCTAAAATGATAATATTATTAAAATATCAAGAAGTAGGTATAGGATATATATATATATATATATATATAGATACCTCGAATCGTACATTATATTTTAATGAAATTGAAATTTTAAATAATAATTGTTAGTCAATTAGTTTATTTAATCAATAAAAGACAATTATTATATTATATTATGTTTCGTAAAATATATTATTAAACAGCCAACAAAAGTTTTTTCCAAGGAACCTACAAGCACCATGTATATACCAACATTTATAAAAATAGTTTTATTAAAAACATCAAATGTTTGACATTTTAAACTATATTATATAAAAATAATCTTAATTTTCAATTTATATGTATTTATTTGTGATTAAATAAAATTAAAAAAACTACTGTTACAAATTGTTAAACATTTTGTTTTTTAGAAAATGCACATCAAATAAACTTATTAAAATCCAGTTTAATGTTAACATAACCAATTATCCATTTATAGATATCAGTTGTAAGTATTTGTATAGTATAGGTACATCATGAAAACGTGACCGAAAGAATGTGTTTCGCAAAATGGAAATTTTACCAGAACTAGTATACCTATAGCTATAGCAACTACTACTATCAATATTATTGACATCACGAAGTAGATACGGGTATTATGTAAACAATTTAGACATATATCGGTACGCGTACTACATTGAATTTGTTCTATTGAAAAAAAGTAGAAAAGCTCTACGGCAACAATTAATAAATTAAAGAAAAAAGTACGTAATACCTACGTACCTATGTATATAGATACTAATGACCAACATTGTCTAAAACAGTGTAACACAAGTTGATGATATTATACACGTAGCCGTGTAGGTACCTATAAGTAGGTACGTCATTTATTCGCGCGCTATACCGGTTGATATCCTACCAGTTAAATAGATAAATCAAATGGAAACACGCTGGTTTTAACGATCTACTATAATATACACAGTATATTATCTTGGTGTAAATCTAAATAAAATCGCGATTCGTCTAGCGGGAAATTGTTTGTAAAACATCACCCGACAGTAGCGTATACATAATAATATAGTCGAGTTGTGTAATAGTGTGTATAATATACATGTATATACATAGGTATAAACTATAAATAATAGGCTATACTGCAGCAATAATTCGCTGTGCGCTCGTGACTTACCTGCATTTGCCAATTAAAGTCCAACTGTTCGTTCGCCCAATTATTGCCGTTACAAGAGTCGGGAACGATTTGATCTCGGGGCGAACAATTCACCGAGGACAATTCCATGCTACGGACGAAACGACGGAGTCCAAAGCGTCTAGCATGTAGACTGTACCTTTATGTATCGGAGACGTCGAAAGAAAAATGATAACGAATTATTTTTGTTTTCCGTTTTCGAAAACGAACGAACAGTGTGTACTACGAGTAAACGGATAGACGCGACAAGAGCAAAAACGATTAAACGAACACAAAACACAAAAAAAAAAACAAAACGTGACCAAAAAAAAAAAAAAAATAATAATAATAATAAAATTATTATTTAAAAACCTCGGTCGGTGCGAACGAAATGCGAAAAACTGAGAAAAAAATAAAATAAAACTGCACAATATGTCGTGGAGGAAAAACGCACGAAAAACCCGCGGACGATACAATAATAATACAATAACGATATTATTTTGTCATTTTTTCCTCGTATAAAATTATTATTATTTTTATTTTTAATTTTATTATCATTCATCGGCGGGACAGGTCGCGCGGTATAGTTCGTGTGCCGCGACGATGGTTTTCGAACTGGTTGCGGCGGCCCCCGTGAACCGGACCGGCGGCGGCCGGAGACGATGTTGTGGGGCATCATGAATGAAATGGGCGTGGCCCCGGCGTATCGGCACACCAGTGGGACAACGCGAACCCCTCCTCTGCGATATCGCCGTTGTAAGGTCCGTAATTGATTTGTAATAAAAACGAAAATCGTTTACGCGGTATAATAATAATATTACGATAAATAATGCACAGGATACCGCGGGGCTACCTGTATTGTTTCCCGGCGCGCATTCCGCTGCAACTGCTGCTGCTACTGCTGCTGCTGCTGCTGCAGTTGTCGCAAATTCAATCACCGTGATTTACTGCAGTTAATGTATTATTACACGGGAAACGCTGTAGTTCCGCGATCGCTGCTGGGTCGGTCATCGCAAGTATACCTAATACCTATACAATATACATATATATTACATATTATACATAGGTACCTACTATATACACGTATAACACGACGTTTTAATATTGTTTCGGAAGTCGTGATTATTATTACCCGTCATCGCCTTGAAAAGTGGTCGTACGCATTGTGTCCCAATATAATATAATAGGGCGATATGATAGATTGGAAAAACTAAAATTTACTACAAGACTATTAAGCGCTTAGTGCTTACCCATGCCGGCAATTCGTTGTACAAAAATAAACGATTTATCTCCACACGTTTACTACGATGTCTGCAAAGGGTTAATCAAAAATACAAATTAAGGGCTGCAATCTTGTAATGCGCATCGGTCTGTCGCCGTGTGCATATATACGTATTATATTTACCTAATGTCTAATGTAATATTCATCGGCATTTGATATATTGAGTTTATATATTAATTATCAGTTATCGCATAAAAAACTCTTCAACCAATATGAAACAATATTATTGTTCATTGCAGCGGTTCTTAACCTTTTATAGATCACGGACCTCTGATCAAAGGTTTTTAGAAATCACAGACCCACTTACCAATCTTTTTAAATAATTTTTTTTTTTTTTTACAATAGACATCTCATATTCTCATAACCAAGTTTATAATGATTACATTTCACACTTAATTTTTCATAAAAAAAATAATTTAAATAAGTTAAAATATGTTTATAAATATATATATATATATAATATCTTTTTATATTATAAAATAGGTATACATACCTACATGAAATAAATAAATAAAAATCCAACAATATTATAATAATGTACTCATGCCACGTTTGACGTATGTTATGTGTTAAAGTCGTCGCGGATCCCCGACATGAGTATCACGGACCCTTAGGGGGCCGCGGACCACAGGTTAAGAATCGCTAGTTCATTTTATTGTTATTTATCTACATACATCGATGTGTGATTTTTTTCTGCTAAATGTCGCGTGATGTGAATACGAATATACATTTTATTACACTACAGAAGGTGTCTGTAACTATAATTTGTCATTTATTTTATTAGCATTTATTAATGATTTAAAATATTTTTCCCTGAATACCTTAAATAATCGAATCCAATATTTTAGTTATGGACCAATTGACATTCAAAACCGTCCTCAAATGATATTAGAATTTTTAAAAAAAGGTAAATTAAAGATGTCAGCCAGTGAAATGTTTTGTTTTATTAAATTTTTTGGCCAAATAATAGAAGATTTAATTCCAAAATCGTCTGAAATTTGGCAAGTCCTTTGTGATTTTAAAACAAATTATAGATATTATTACTTCTTAATATATTCAAAAAGAATATCATATATTACTGAAGACTCTAATCACCGAGCACCATAAATTATATTTAAAATTATTTAATTGTAATTTAAAACCTAAACACCATCACTTACTACACTATCCAAGAATTATGAATGAAGTTGGACCTTTAATAAATATTTGGTCTATGCGTTTCGAATCGAAACATAGAGAATTTAAAATAAATGCTAATGCTATTACTAGCAGGAAAAATATTTGTTTGACTTTAAGTAACAAACATCAGTTAAAACTTACCTATAAATTTTTATCAAAAAATTGTTTTTCTTCTACCATAGACATTGGACATACTATAAAATTATCAAAATACACAATAGATAAAATTAAATCCCAAATAGACTCTTCTTCTAGAGTAATCTTTAATAATTTAGACATACATAACTGTAGCTATATTTCATGGTTCAAAACAAAAGGAACTCGCTATGCTTGTAATATGTCAATAGTACTTGATTTTGAAAATATTCCCATTATTGGTCTAACTAAATATATATATTTATTGTTGATAATAATCCTTTTTTTTTGTACCATAAATATGAAACAATAAAATTTGATGATCATGTACAAGCCTGGGAGATTACTTTAACATCATGTTTATATTTGTGTACATCATTTAATAATATACCAAGTTTTCAAAACCCATGTACATCTTCCCCTAATAATAATGGAACCATGTATATAGTGTTTAAGTCTTAATTATTTGTATATTATTATATGCATTATTTTGTTTCTTTTTATATTTTAAATAAATCTTAATTAATATATTTATATTGTTTATTTATTTAATTTGTTCCAAGATATTTCCTAATATTAGCAAATTAGTATCATTCATCAATTAAATAGTAAATAACTATGTGTGTACTGTATACCCTAGTATTATATGAAAGATAGGTAACTAATAAATATTTAACAACTATGAATGATTACTACAGTGCAGTAGTAAATTCTTCTGGATTCACGACTGTCAAGTGTAGTTATTTACCTATGTAGTATAATGTAAATATACCTAACATATGGACATTATGGTACATACTTTTGGTTTGCCTGATTATAGGTATTAGGTACCTAATGTAATAAATATATATAATGTAACCCTTGTAATAAATTTGTAACATTAGTACTTTACACAAAGTTAAATAGAACAAAAATAAAGTTGGGACTACTACACATTTTAGTTGATTTGATAATCCAAACAATAAATTGTAATCCACTAAATAGGTTAGATTAAATAAATATATAGTAAACATTACTTTTACTAACTATTATGCATGGTTGAATAAAATAAAACTAAAGTCAGGTTAACTAAACAGTTGAGTTACGTTGATAGTAAAACAGGTTGATTTTATTAATTATCTAATCTAATATATTGGTTGAACCAACTATAATATTTAGGTAAAACAATCCCATATAATAGTAAACATAACTATATTGTTTAATTCCTACAATGCAGTAGTTTTATTGAAATTGCAACTAAATACAAAGTTGAAACAGCTAAATATTTTTAATTAAACCAATTTATTATTTATAACTATTCTTATAGATTGTCCCTATGTTAACCTGAAAATACGATTAAAATAACCATTTAAATAGTTGGGTTAAACCTTTATTTTTTTCCGTGCAAAATCTAATATATTATTATTTATTTCTATTTAAAATTGCAACGCTTAAAAGTTACAATTGTATTGTTGTTTCGCAAGAGGAATACGCTGCTATAATATCTAATATCTAAATAGATGTGCATTATTTTTCAGTATAGGTATAAATATAGAAAGAACCTAATTCTACATTCATGTACTAGATACATCAATAAATTATACACATCATAGACTATGGTATTATATATATATAATACCTACTATTAAAGACACTATTATAATATAGTATAACACACCTTAACGGAAATAGTGATAGTATACTCGTAATGACACATTGCAAAAAAATTTAAATCGTTTGTTAGATTTTGGTAGATATATACCTATAATATGTATGCAAATATATGTATATATATTTACTGTTTGTCTATATATACAAACCGCAAGTACATATTTTATGTTAGTGGCATTTATTGTAAGGATATAAATATTATTTTATTTTAAAGTAAAAATAAATAAAAATTTTTATATAATTAGTAGGTATATAAATAAAAAGTAAATATCCACAGCGGTCAAAAAAAAAAGTAACGGTTAATATAAAACATGGAAACGCATAAAATATTATTTTTATACGCCCGAGAATTAAAAGAATTTTTGCGAAAATCTTCAAAGATATATATACCTGTAATCTGTATATATAATTTATATAATATTATTAATAATAATTATATGTAGGTACCAAGACAAAAAAAAAAAAACAAAAATATTTTGAGTAAAAATTATTTGACAGTATTGTGATAGCATCATTAGCATCGTAATACCTTATATATATATATATATATATATATATATATATATATGTATAGGTAAATGTATAAATGTCATCTATAAATACAGTGCAGGTCGCCGCTTAATATAATCACTTTGGTACGAGACATAACTGATAACATAATCCGATTGATAACATTAAACGAAAGTTAAAAAAGTTATAAAAATTAATAAAATCTATGTTAAATACATAGTAAATAAAAATATAATTTTTTTACTTATTATTATTTATTTATAAATAAAGTACATATGTAGGTATAAATTGGAAATTTAAAATTAAAAAAAAAAAATTAAATGTAAATAAATAAATATGAATAATATGCATGTACACCACTAAAATTTATATCTTTATTACAATTTTTATCTTTATTATGAGACATTCGACAAAAAATTTGATTGTACCTATATGTTACAAAATTATGATTTTATGAACTCAAACTGATAATATTATGCGGCGTATTGATTACAAAAACCGACATAATTTACACATATAAGTATAGATCCGGCCCGTACTTACACTTTTCGATAACAATAAACGATTGATAACATTAACCGTGATTATAATAAGCGGCGACCACTGTAATATAAAACATATCGAACTAATATTTTAGCCCTTAGATCATAATATTATATACTATGGTTACTATGCATACACTAAATTTTATCAAATACTATAACACCTTCAAAATTGTTTGCAGTACACGACACACGGCACAAATGCACGCGCTCAGAACCATTCATCATATTATGTATCATTTTAACGTTAAATTAATCGCCACATAAACCACCAGTTAACTCCGAACGACTGTACCTA